ATATATATGTAGTCAGAATTCTGACTTTTTTCACAGATTTTTTTCCAGTGGCCCTAATCCTCTTCCGTAGTAAAGTAACAGCTCTGTTCTGTAACATATATGTGAAACTGTCAAAGACGTGTTTGGTTTGTGTGCAGCTAAGTAAATGAAAGTCGTAAGAGTCCTGGGTTCTTCTGTGAATGTTTCCTCTCTAGTTGCAGTAACAGGATCTTCTTTGTTTCCAATAAAAACCTGCTTGTATTTCATGCTCCACAAAAACCTGCATACACAGCTTTTACAACCTCGACCCTGTCGTCACTGATCTATACAAAGTAATCCACCAAGGTCCCACTTGAATTTTTAGAATAGAAAAGAAGTAAAAATCAAGTCAAAAGCAGACATTCATTCATGGTTTCACCATAATTGGAAAACATTCCAGACCGAATTGAAATTGTTTTGTTTGAAAGCTGTTTTTTAAACAATATTTAATACTTTGCAACTTGAGTTGCTTTGTGTGCAGCCTGACTGATTGTTGGTAGGCACAGAACTATGAAACAGAACATAATAAACAGTCACCAGTCACAATAGTGGAGCTGGTACGGTTTTTACTTTGTGTTTGTGTGTCCTGTATATTATCCGACCCAGGAATACTGAGTACTTATATAGCCAGCGATGATCTTGCTATGAAATTGCACCAGCCACGACACCCTTCAATATACTGATTGATGACAACTCGAGTCATTACAACATTATTACGTGAATTCCTGCTCCAGATGCGTGTCTCCATGAACATAACAACACCAGCTATGCTGTTGTGGCTGGTAAAAATTTACTAACGACCTCTGACTACTCATGGAAGTGAACTTCAGGATGCTGACAGGTATTACAGTTATATGGATGCTTCAGGCAGAGATCCCAGTTTGTGTTTTTGGAGTTGGGCTTCCAGTGTTTCTTCATTTTTTAAAAATTGGGTCATTTAAAAAAAAAGAAATCATAAACATACCTCAAATGTTGTCCTCTAGATGGCTTGTAAATGCTTCAGGTGCAGCAGACAAACACAGACAAAAAACTTGGTGAATAAGGATCAGCATCTTCGAATTATGTGTTTTAAAGGTACGCTACAGAATCTGATGGCAAAAGAACAAAGATGCATGACACATGAGTGCTTCTGCCATGTGTCTCTCAATATAATCCTTAAAAAACCTCTAAATACAGCTGTGATTTTCAGTGTATGCCTGTATGTTTCCCCAGTGCTGCATAATAAATCAGACCCACTTCCTCTATAAACTCATAATACTAGTGTCTGTAAGTCTTCGCTGCAACTCTGTGTATCCTCACTATCTGACAGCGCTGCGCTTTAAAACGCTCATGATGAGACATTCATCAAGGCTGGAGGAATATTGTTACAAAACAATAAAACAGTGTTTTTATTGATTTTTCTGTCACTTTCAGTTTGTCGTTATGAGAAACAGTAACCACTGAAAACAAAGCCAACACATGTCACTGACAGAAAAAAGGCAGTAATGTATTATGCAGAAGATTTAAGAACTAAAGTGCAGATGCTTCCAAAACCAATATATTGAGTCGTTTTCATTTTTATTTCAGTTAATTTTAAAGTGCAACAATTAGAAAAAATCTACTTCAATTTGCTGCCATTAAACTAGTTCTCATGTCAGCTTTTGGAGCTGCAGCACTCGATATGAAGTTTTGAGAATCATGGGGAAACGTGCCACAGCTCTGTGCATTTAAGCCAGCGGTCCCCAACCTTTTGTGCACCACGGACCGGTGTAATGTCAGACAATATTTTGTAATGCCGGTCCGTGAAACAAAATAAAATAATACGACCTCGACCAAAACTGTGGTATTTTGTAAATATAATAATAAATACGAATTCACTGTGTAATTGTGTAACTTTATTAGCAGCGTCCTCCTGAAATGCGCCAACAACATTGAGAGTAACATCCTCCTCTCTTCCCCTTTAATGCTCTCTGGTCGCTATGGTTACGCGTAAAAATTTCTTTCAAAATAAGACGCACAACTACAACACGGGAAAAGACCCAGGGAACTCAACTCTCACGGCCCAGAGCCAAACGACTCACGGACTGGTACCGGCTTCCCCATTGAATATATTCGATGCATCATGGGAAGTACTATGTATGGTACATACATACTATGTATGTATGGTATGTATGGTACTATGAGACCTTTAAAATAAGATGGGGCCTGATTATTCAAGCCCTTGCATGTGAGATGAAGGATTTTAAATGGAATTGAATGTAACAGTGAGCCAATGAAGAGAAACCAAGTCGGGAGAAATATGCTCTCTTTCTCTTGCATGTCATGTTTTCTGTCTTATTACTTTAGACTCGTGATTTTTGGATTGGGGCACCAGGGGGCATCAAATCATTTGTTCATCATTGTTAAGCATCCCTTTCACATAATAATACTTAAGTCTCTTATGCACAGTCCTTTGCTTTGGATGGTTCAGCCTGGGTATTTAAACTCATCTACCTTCATGTTCTCTACGCCTTGCACACTTTCTGCTCCTCACATTTTCAAAACAGGCTTGTTCCTTTCATTGTTGTTGTTTTTCCATCACTGTGTGCCTTTAAACATCAAACCAATTCCAGCCTAAATGGAGGGAACATGATGCATATAAGACAATCCTACTGGGTATCCGTCATCAAGGCGTATCACATACAAAGGGATGAAAGAAGGAAAAACATAATTATTAGACTCCTCTTTGACCTCATCTATCAACCAGACCAATCAGAGTCACTCCCACCTTAAACCCAGGTGTCGCTCCTGCCCCACACCCCACCACACTCATACATGTCCTCCACAAGCCTCACATACTTCTGCCGCTCCTGACTTCCTCATGCAGTACCACAGTTTTTCTCTTAGCAGCCCCTCACAGACTTCCTGTAGATGCACAAAGACATTGTCTTGAACACTACTTTTTCTTCTGACACACTTTGAGTACCGGTATCACGATGTGGGTGTGTGTATGTGTGCGTATATCATATTAAAGTAACAACAATCCGTCAAAGGCTATTACAATGTTAATGTCATTACAATGATATTAATGATGTCATTAATGCACTAGTATTATCTCATCTAGAGTACTGTTTGATCATTTGGTCAGCAGCTAATAAGACAGATTTGAACAGACTTCAGTTAGTCCAAAATAGGGCGGCCAGATTGGTGTTAAGGTTAATATTATACAGATATTGATAAAATGCACGATAAACTTTCTTGGCTTTCTGTACAAGCTAAATTATACTATGGCTTACTTGTATTTTTAAAGAAAGCAATACTGGTAAACACACCACACTTTTTTATGCTCAGTTGCAGCATCCAGATGAAATACATAATCATGCTACACGATTCTCAACTAACCACAATTTAGTAACTCCTTGAGTTACTAAATTGTAACTTTTTGAAACTCTGTTATATTTAAAGCATCTTTTCAGTGGAATAAGTTGCCTTATGCAATTAGAGAATTGGCTTCTATTCATAATTTTAAAAATCACCTAAAAGCCTATTTAGGCAGTTTTTAAATTTATTTGTAAATATTGTAAGAGGGTAATGTCACTTGTAATGGAAATTGTGTATTTTGTTTGAGTGTTTTTTAAAATTTTTAATATTTACATGCTTATATTTTCAGAATTGTAAAACCTTATTGTGGATGTAAGAGCCAAATTATGTGGACATTTTGCATCCAACTCATTGTGTAACATTTTATTCGGTGGTATTTGATGGTTTGGGCCCCAGGAAGACTAGCAACCACTGTTGTGGAAGCTAATGGGGTTCCTTACAAATAAACAAACAATATTGTTACATAGCAACGAGTATCGATGCCCCGGCTAGCTTCTCATTTTTCTGATAGTTCAGTGGAATCCTAGTTGTACAAATATTAGGTAGTTTAAAAAGTCCAAAAAGGTTGTACATTTACTTCACATGAAATTCAGTTTATAATTTAGGGTTCTGTCTAGTTCCTGGTAGACTGTTTCACAGTTTCAATCTAGTACTTTAAGAGAAACAGAAATTATTAGACACTATTGTGTTATTCTATTAAATGAACACTATAGGCAGGACAGGGCTGATAACGTTTTCCATCTACCTCTAGCATTAGCTTTGTTATTAGCCATTGCCACTAGCTGCTATCTTATTCATGGCATGGAGTCGATCCTGTTCTGCACACCCATTCATTTTGTTTTAAGACTCCTCGCTGTACCTTTGGCTGAAGACAAATCTATATAAATCTTGCTGGATGTGTGGAGAATGAATTCGGCGCTGATCAGACACCTACATGACGGTGCTTCATGAGGAATAAGAATCTACTGAAAGTGTGTCAAACTATCCCATAGCTCTGTATATCCACACACCGCCTTACTGCAGACACACATTCTAATTCACATTACTGTAGTTCTTTGGTTCTGATGTTTTTAATGTTCATAAAACTGATAAAATATGACAGAGCTCAGGTAAAACTATTGCTGACTGAATGTTTGAGGGTTTTGACTTATCTTACAGTTTAATCCTAAGGAATATCAGATGGAAGCTCGAATGTATCTGCTGAAACTGAATTAATTAGAGGAAGTGAGTTCTCTGCAGTTTTGGTGTCCTTAGGTGCATTTGACTACAAGGTGATGATTAAGACGTTGTGGTGAAGCACTTGGATAAAACTAAAGTGTGAGAGACGAAGCATACAAGAACATACATTTTCTGCTCTTGTTTTCCTAGAAGGAAATGAATGAAATCTTCTTCTCACTGTTCAACTTCATTTATTTAATAAATATTTGTTTTTTTTATGTCTTTGTCTTAAAACAGGCATTCTGAGGTCCGTTCACCATCCTCCAATAGTGGGTCATTTTTTCCTGTAATAGAAATCTGTTTGACAGCATTTCACCATCCATCACACCCAGCCTTGTTCAAGGTAAGCAGCACCATAGGTACCACTTCATTATTCTGATATTTGTAATAATCTAATGAGGCAATACTTTAAAATTCAACCCTTGTTATGCTATTTTTTGTTTAGCTTTGGGTATATATTAAAATAAAAATACTTAAACAGTGTGTTGGTTGCTTTCAGAGTTAGAGGTCATGTGTGTGTGCTCTGTATATTGATTGGTCTGGGTCATGTTTACCTTTGACACATATAAGCATTAGCATTATGGGAGAGGATAAAATACCAGTATGGAAATATATTGGTTCCTGTATCAATATTTTATTGATCGACTGCTTTAGGACTCCTTGTGCTTGCCCTAATAATATGAATGAATGTAAAGTGAAAGGAAGCACACTACAGGGAGTGCAGAATTATTAGGCAAGTTGTATTTCTGAGGAATAATTTTATTATTGAACAACAACCATGTTCTCAATGAACCCAAAAAACTCATTAATATCAAAGCTGAATGTTT